GGGCCGGGGCAGTGCCACTGCCTTTGGGATTGCGCACGCCTAGGTCTGTTTTCAGGCGACAAATAACTGAGAGGAACAGTCCAGGGACTAGTCATTTACAGTAGGTGACAGGCATCGACAGGCCAGGGGCTGAGGAATGTATGAACGTCACTTGGCCTTGGGCCATGAACTGTTCCACAGAAGAGAGAAGTGAGATGCGGACAGAGTCAGGACGCGGATTATTTGGTTCCTCTCCCCCACCCGTTTGTGACCCTGCCTCCCGTTCCCTGGGCGCACAGTGGCGCCTGGGACACAGGAGGAGCTCGGTAACTGTCTGCTGTGGTGTTAGGAGCAGAGGCCCCAGAGCCAGGGTGCTGGGCTCCAATCTGTCCTTTCCACATTCCCCTTCTCTTCCCTTGTCCTTACCCTACCCCCACTGAGCACGCCTCCAGCAGGCCCTGTCCCTCCCCTGCATCCCTGTTTCTCCCCCATCCCTGGAGCAGCTCCCTCCCTGCTCCCCTCTTCCTGCCCCCCCCACCCCCCACCATCGAGCAGGCACCTGGGCTAGAGCCCTGCGCACAGGTCATTTCCCCTGTCCCGACCCTTGGTCACCACCTCTGTAACATGGGGTGGGCCCTCATTTCTCAGAGTTTCATCAGCCCCCTACTCTAGCCCTCTGGCAGGGGCTGGGGATCCAGGCATGAACAAGACCAAGCTCCCCACCTGGGGGGGCTCCCATTTTAGTGGGGAGACAGTGAACAAAATAAAGAAAGCAACCAGTCTGTCAGCTGGTGCAGAGTTCTGGACATAAGTGCGGCAGGGAACGGGGGTGGGGAGTGCCGCGGAGGACTGTGTGCTGATAGACAGCGGTAGGGAAGGTACCGTAGAGCCAAGACCTCGAGGCGGGGGGGCAGCCGTGGGACAGGGGAAGGATTCGGACAGAGAACAGCCAGTACAAAGGCCCTGAGGTGGGAATGTGCTTGGTGTGTTTGCTGAACGTTGAAGCCCAACGTGGCTGGAGCCAACCAGTGAGGGGAGCATGAAGAGCCTGACAGAGACTGTGTTTGTAAAAGGCTCAGGACGGGATCCTGTGCACAGCAGGCCCAGCACATTGTAGCTCTCGACATCATTGCGGTGATTGGACGGAGAGATGCCAGGCCGACAGAGCCGGGCGCGCCCCTGCCTCGGCGCCCATCTGACCTCCAAACCAGTGCTTCGCTGCAGCGGGAGGAGAGCCCTGCAGCCTGAACGAGGCTCCCCATCCCCTTCCCCTTGCAGCATCCAAGCGGAGGACCCCGGTGTCCCAGCCGGGCATGGCCGACCCCCACCAGCTCTTCGATGACACGAGTTCGGCCCAGAGCCGGGGCTACGGGGCCCAGCGGGCACCCGGCGGCCTGGGCTACCCTGCGCCTTCCGCCTCGCCCCAGGCTGCCTTCCTGGCGGATCCTGTGTCCAACATGGCCATGGCCTACGGGAGCAGCCTGGCAGCCCAGGGCAAGGAGCTGGTAGATAAGAACGTGAGTGGGTGGGGTGGCTGGGTGTGTGTGTGGGGGGGGGGAATGTGAGACCAGGGCTTCAGGCCTGGGCTCTGCCTCCCCCCCAGATTGACCGCTTCGTCCCCGTCACCAAGCTCAAGTACTACTTTGCCGTGGACACCATGTATGTGGGCAAAAAGCTGGGCCTGCTCTTCTTCCCCTACCTGCACCAGGTCAGCACTGCGCCCACAAAGGGGAGCACTGTCTGAGGAGGGGCAAAGTGTGGGGGGGGCGGGTGGAGGGGTGGGGATAGAGGGTGAGTCAGAAGCCGGGCAGGGGCCGGGGGAGGGTGGGTTTGCCCCAAGAGAGGGCCTGGAAGCAGTGCGGGAGAAGCCCACTCTGGGGGTCCCGCCTGCTCCCCTCACTCTCCCCACAGGACTGGGAAGTGCAGTACCAGCAGGACACACCGGTGGCCCCCCGCTTTGACATCAACGCTCCCGACCTCTACATTCCAGGTCTCCCCCTCCCCGTCACCGCCCCGCCCCCTGCTCCCTCTGGGGGGGGCACGTCTAGGGCAGAGGTTTAGGTGCCTAGTGGCCCAGGATGGTCCGTCTTCCTCTGACCAGTGTCTGTGTGTCTGCCTCCCACAGCTATGGCTTTCATCACTTATGTCTTGGTGGCTGGCCTGGCGCTGGGGACCCAGGATAGGTAAGGGAGGCCTGGAGTAGGCAGAGTGGGGTGAGGTTTGGGGGGTGGAGGGGCCGTCAGGAAGGTCTCTTGGATCTCCTGCCTCGGAGCAGCCCCACCGTGCTCCCAGTTGGCCCAGGACAGAGCCCTTGGGGTCATGGTCAGCGTCACCCTCACCTCTTCCCTTGCTCTCCACCCACGTGCAGCCCATCACCACACCTGTGGCGGGTGACTCTAACTCCATCCTTCATCTTCGCCTCCACCACCAGATCCGGCCCATCCTCACTGCCTCCTAACCAGCTGCCTTGCCCACATACCCTCTGCACCCTGACTCCCAACAGCAGCCAGGAAGATCTGATCTGAGATGTGGGTCTGGCCATGTCCACTCTGCTAGAAGCTGCCCAGAGCTCTCCCGTCCCCAGATCCAGCCCTGGCTCCTTAGTCTCGCGCACCACACTGCCTCCGTGCAGCCTCTCTCTGCCTCTCCTCCTCACTCTGCTTCGCCACACTAGGCCTCTTTCCATCCTCCAGAGGGCTTGGTGCCACCTGCCGCCACCCCAGGGCCTTTGCACATCCAGTGCCCTTTGCTCAGGAGTATGTTCCTCCCCTGTATCACCTGCCGAGCACCTGCTCACCTGTGATGTCTCCACCCTGGTGTCACTTACTCAGGGAAGCCTTCCCACCCCCCAACTGGGTCAGGCCCCCCACGTCTTGCTCCTAGGCTCCAGTCTCTTTCTTTTGTGGCATCGAAAACGCTTGTCATGAGAATCCGTTCATCACTGGGGCACTGGGGATATGGCAGAGGCTGTGGTCCTTCTTTGCAAGTCAGCTCCTTATTCCTTCAGGCCTCAGCTCAGATGTCCTCTCTGAAGAGCCCTCTCTGACACCTTCTCCCGACTGGGTCAGGCACCTCCCCTGCCCTGCACTCCCCTCATCCCAGCCCTGACCCCTCAGGGCCGTCACTGAGGACAGGTCTGCCTTCCCTGGCATGAGATTTCCATGAGGACAGGGTCCAGATCCATCTTGGTCACTGTGGAGTCTCTAGCTGCACCCAACACAGGTGTCCCCAGGTGGATGCTCTGGGAGGGTGTGAGCCGGCCATCGGAGTGACAGCTTGGTGCCGGCAGGTTCTCCCCAGACCTCCTCGGGCTGCAGGCAAGCTCTGCGTTGGCCTGGCTGACCTTGGAGGTGCTGGCCATCCTGCTCAGTCTCTACCTGGTCACTGTCAACACTGACCTCACCACTATTGATCTGGTGGCCTTCTTGGGCTACAAATATGTTGGGTGAGTACCCCATTCCTTTCCCCCCTCCTCCAGCCCCAGCCCCGAGGCCTCTCCCTCAGACCAGCCTTCCCCTCTCTTCCCAGGATGATTGGTGGGGTCCTTATGGGCCTGCTCTTTGGGAAGATTGGCTACTACCTGGTGCTGGGCTGGTGCTGCGTGTCTATCTTTGTGTTCATGGTGAGCTGGGGCTCAGGGGAGGATGAGGCTTGAGGGCACAAGCCCTCAGAGTCGGGGTCCCCTGGAGGCATCCAAACAGAGGATGTCAGGGGAGGAGTTGAGACGAGAGCCACGTCGCTGAACTGAGGAGGCTTAAAGTGGCTGTCCCAGCCTGGGGGTCAGGAGGGCTTCCTGGAAGAGGGGGTGTCTAAGCTGGGGCCGGAAGGAAGAGAAGGAGCTAGCTGGGCTGTTGGGGTAGGCTCTCACCCTCACTCCACTCTTCCATGGTGGGCTTTCCTGCCAGAATTTGTTAGGATGAAAAAAGTTTCGGTACCCTTGGAAGTAGCTTCTCTGGGTCCCCAGCAAATCCCTTCCTCTCTTTAAACCTGCTTCCCCTTTTGTAAAAAAGGGGGATGATGATAAACGCACCTCAGGGCCCTGGGCGGAGGCAGTGTGAGCATATGTGAGGAGCAGAGGGCAAAAACCGGTTGGCCAGATCGGACCCTCAGATATACTTTGACATAGATGTTATTTAAAAGTTAAAAAAAAAAAAAAAAGCCTTTCTGGCTTGTGTTGAAAACTGTCATCCGGCCCACATAAGCGGGGTGACAGCGGCCCGGCTGAGCCTGCCACCCTCCTCAGGCCACCCTCCCCAGGCACCCTCCGCAGGCAGGGTATGAAGCTCCACATCTCATCTCACTCAGGGGCCTCGCCTGCTGCATGAGCTTGCAAACCCTCACGTTTGCTCCCAAGCCTTGGGGAGGAGCAAGTCCTCACCATCTGTTAGAGGAGATGTGGGGGGAACCTAGGCTCCCCTTGAGCAGAGAGACTCGAGCCTAGCTGCCCCGGAGGAGGGAGAGAGGCAGGGCTTGGAAGTACATCCAGGCACCCGCGCCCAGCCCGGGACTCAAGGGTGAACCCCCTCCCGCCCCAGATCCGGACGCTGCGGCTGAAGATCCTGGCGGAGGCAGCGGCCGAGGGCGTCCCGGTGCGCGGGGCCCGGAACCAGCTGCGCATGTACCTGACCATGGCCGTGGCGGCGGCGCAGCCCCTGCTCATGTACTGGCTCACCTTCCACCTGGTGCGGTGAGGGCGGCCCGGCCCACGCCCCCAGCTGCTGCTCCGCGCGGCTGCCGCCGCCCCTCCGCCCGCCCGCCCGCGGGGACACCGCCGCCGCCCCGATCCCGAGACCCCACCCCCACCCCCTCCGGGCCGAGGTGCCGAGATCTTCAGCTGCACCGGCCGCCCCGCAGAGCGGTCGCTGTTACGGAAACAATAAACCGAGATGGGCACGGCGTGGGCAGCCTGTCCTTGGTGCGGCCGCCCGGCAGGGGGCAGGCCCGGCCCGAGAAGGGGGATGGGCGGGGCGGGGCGGGGAGGGGCGGGGCCGGTGCCCCACTTCGCGACCCGAAGGCGACCAGAGAGTCGAAAGAAGGTTTAATGAGACTCGGCCGGGCCCGTCAGTGAGGAAACTCCTTCTTCGCCTTCCCTTTCTTCTCCTTCTTTTTCGCCTTCGGCTTCTTGACCTTGGCCGGCGTGCTCTTGTGCCCTTCGGAGGCGGCAGCTGGAGGCTGTGGGGCCGAGGCCGGAGGGGAGGGGAGAGCGAGGGGTCGGCCGCTGAGACGATTGTCCGGGACTGACCCCTCACCTGGGGCGCCTGCTTGCGGGGAGCCTCTTACCTTTGCTTCCATGTCCGAGTCGCTGGAGCTGTCGCTGCTGGAGTCCGAGGAGCTGCGGTGACCGCCGCCCTGCTCGTTGGAGGCAGGCAGTGAGGCCCGGACCCCTGACCCAGCCCCTGCCCGCAAGTTGGAAGCCCCAGGCTCGGCGGGGCCTTGGGTTCAAAGGCCTACCCCCCACCCCCCGACCCGATACCGGGAGGGATGCGCGGGGTCCTGAGGTGACTTACCCTCGGTTTATCAGCCGCCCCCGCCTCTGACGCGCCCGGAACTTTGGGGGGGCTGTGTTTGTGGTCTCCCACCTGGCCTGTCCCTTGGGGCTCCTTGGAGTCGAGGGCTGTGGAGAGAAGTTGGGTGGGTTGGTGCAGGTGCAGCGCGTGCGCCCTTGGGAGGAGGCTTCTGGGTTTTAGCCTGGTCCCCTGCGCCTCAAGAGCCCCACTTCCCAGGATCGCACCTGCGGCCAGGTCCAACTCCATGGTGGTGAGAGATGGTCTGTGGGGAGGACCGCAAGAGCCCCGAGGGCAGGGGGAGGGGCAGTGAGAACCGGCTGCCCAAGGACTTCGGAGGAGCCCCACCCAACCTGGCTCAGAGTCCTTAGCCTTGACTCATAGCCCCTCCCCAGCACCACCCAACTTTTCTTCTTGGGAAATGAGGTGGGTGGACAGTTGATTGCTAAATTTCCACCCCGTGAGCCTTGGCAAGTGAGGGGGCACTGTGTGGGCAGCTGTAGGTTTCTGGGGGGAGGGCTGGAGCTGTCATCTGCTTCCCACAAAAGGGTCAGATGCCTGCTTTTGAAGAAATGAGAGGGTGTCTCCGTGCCCTATGCACCATCATAATGCCAACACTCCGTGTACTTACTGCGGGCCAGGCGCTGTTCCAAAGGTCTTCACGCACATTAGCTCGCTTTAAACCCTGGACGGCTGCGTGAGAAGCAGTGTCTGAAGGGGTGAAGAGCTTGGGATCAGCCTCCTGAAGTTGAAGACCCACTCAGTAGTGGGGTGAGCTCAGGAAAGTCACTCTGCCTCTATGCCTGTTTCTTCATCTGTACGTGGCAGCCTCCATATGGGGCTGTTGTCATGGATTAGTTTCTAGAACTGTGCCTGGCACAGACTAAGTGCTTGTAAGATAATGTTTGGCTTTTTAATTAGAAGATATGTATTGCTATCATCCCTATTTTAAAGATGAGAACACTGAGGGACCAAACAAGTAAGATGCTGAGGGGCCAATGTAGTATGAATGGCTAGAGCTGGGATTCACACTCAGTGTGGCTCAAGTCCAAGGCCCTGGCCCCTCTGGCTCTCCCTGGAGGGTGCTCAGGGGAAGGGGCTCCCCATGCCTGGCTGGGCCAGTCAGGCTGCTGGGGGGGGGGGGGGGGCGCTGAGCCATCTGCTCCCCTTGCTGTGTGGCCAAGTGTCCTTGCAAATCCATCCCCGGCCAGCCCTGCCACCAGCAGCTGGGCCACCACACTTGCAGAAGCAGGCAGGCAGGAGTGGTGGCTGGGGCTTGGGGGTGGTGATGAACGCGTGCCCTCAGGTCTCTGCTCCAAAGCGCATTCCTCAGAGGTGCCTGCCCTGACTGCTGGCTCCCCACAGCCCATCCTGGCAACCCTCCTTCCCCTGCTTGATGAGCAGCTTAGCCCTTAAAGATAGTAAAAAGTTATCTTCATCGTCAGTTCCTTCGGCCTACATTTGCTGAGTACCTACTATGTGCCCGGCACAGTTCAGGTGATGGGCATACAGAGGTTAACAAAACCAGCAAAATCCCGGCCTCACGGGACTGACATTCTAGTGGGGGAAACGAGGTGTAAAATGTACAGAATATTAGAAAACAACTGGAAGTGAAGATGCCCCGTGAGTTGGTAAAGTGGATAGACAAAATGTGAATATATAACGGGACGTTACTCTGCCGTACAAAGGAACGGACATTTACTGCATCGTGCACGAACCTCAAAAACACCTTGCTAGGTGAAGGAAGCCAGACCCAAAAGCCTGCATGCTGTAGGACAGCGTTCATATCAAGTGCTCAGAGAAGAGTTATTGAGACAGCAGGCTAGGGGGTGCTGGGAGCTGTGTGGGGAATGGGGATTAACCGTAAATGAGCACGAGATCTAATTGTGGGGGATGAAAACACGTGCGAACTGATTTATGCTGAAAATTGTACCACCTGGTAAAAATTATTAAGAACTGGGGCGCCTGGGTAGTGCAGTTAAGTATCCTACCCTTGTTTTCGGCTCAGGTTGTGACCTCTGTGTGGTGGGACCGAGCCCCGTGTTGGGCTCCACGCTCAGCAAGGAGTCTGCTTAAGATTCTCCCTCCCAGGCGCCTGGGTGGCTCAGTCGGTTAAGCCACTGCCTTCGGCTCAGGTCATGGTCCTGGAGTCCCGGGATCGAGTCCCACATTGGGCTCCCTGCTCGGCGGGGAGTCTGCTTCTCCCTCTGACCCTCTTCCCTCTCGTGCTCTCTCTCTCTCATTCTCTCTCTCTAATAAATAAATAAAATCTAAAAAAAATTAAAAAAAAATTCTCTCTCCCTGTCCCTTTGCCCCTCCCCCATCTCTCTAAAAATAAATCTTTTTAGATTAGAAACCCCTGAAGTGTATGTTTTAAATGGCTTTTATGTAACTTATGCCTCAATAAAAGCTGGTTTTAAAAAGTATGTGCTAAGAAGAGAGAGAGCAAGAAAGGGGGCTAGGTAATAACTACATGGTATGTTGGGGAGAGGTTGGATTTTAGGTAAGAGTTACCAGGGAAAGCTTCACGCAAGTCTTTTTTGAATAAAGATCTGAAGATGAGGGGCGCCGGGGTGGCTCAGTTGGTTAAGCGACTGCCTTCGACTTGGGTCGTGATCCCAGGGTCCTGGGATCCGGCCCCACATCAGGCTCCCTGTTCAGCAGGGAGTCCGCTTCTCCCTCTCCAGCTCTGCCGCTCTCCCCTTGTGCTCTCTCTCTCAAATAAATACAGTCTTTAAAAAAAAAAAATTCTCTTTAAAAAATCTGAAGATGAGGAGATAAACCATGCAAACACATGGAGGAAGTGTTCTAGGCAGTGGGAATACCAAGTGCAAAGGTCCTGAGGCAAGAATGTACCTGAGTGATGAAGAACTGCAAGAACTTCAGAGTGGCAGTGAGAATGGAGGGAGACAGGAGGAAGGATGGGAGGGGTGGAGGGGTGGAGGATTTGTACATCAAAGACTTTTGATCTTTACTCCGAGTAAGAAGAGGTGGCGAATGATGATTGTGGCTTTACCCACAAGTGGATGCAGGATGTGAGAAAAATGTTTTTCCAAGCAAAACAAATTCCATGAGGGTTAGGGACCTCATCTGCTTTGCTCAGCACCCAGAACAGTGTGACTCAGAATTTGGTGCTCACTATCATCTGGTGAGTTAGTGAGGTGACCTGGTGCCAGGCCCTCTGCTAATGTAACGTCAGGTTAGAGCAAGCACAGAGTGGCTAAGAGTTTGGGTTGTGGAGGTCAGTCTGCTCGCAGGTGAATCCTCACTCTACCTCTTACTGCTCTGTGGGTAAATAAGTCAACCAGCCTGCACTGCAGTTTTGTCCTCTATAAAGTGGAAGACTTACCTCATAAAGTGACAGTTGTGTCTGGAGCCTGCCTGGCACAAGGTAAATAGATGCTCAGCAAATGTAAGTTTTTATTATTCACGAACACGATCTCATATGCTTACTTGTGAACCTGGCAGTTAAGATCCCATGTTGTATATGAGGGAGTTGAGCCTCAAAAAGATGGTTTCGCGCCCAAGGACACTGAGCTAGTAGGTTGCAGATCGGTAGTGAGATGCCTTCCAGACCCAAGAGGAAGTAGCTCTTTACTACTTGGCTAAGATTGTGGGGGTGGTGAATGGGCCCGGGGAAGAGCGCGGCCTGATCCTCCAAATTCCCCTCTATTCACTCCTGTATCACAGTTAGGATGTGGCCACTTTCACAGAGACCAGAAAGAGCCTTAACAAGATAGCTCCACTTTTTTCTCCCCTAAAGTCACCCAGGGAAATTTTGGGGTTGCTCCTAACTGGTTGCTCTGCATCCTTCCCGGGTGTTGTCCTGAACATAGAGGGAAGGTGGCCTCCACCATCGGATTTGCGGAAAGGGAAAGGGCGAGGAGAGGGCACACCAATTCCTTTTAAGGACTGCACCTGGAAGCAGCACCTGTCCCTCTGGCCAGGTCAGACACACGGTCACATCTAGCAGCAGGGGAGGCTAGGAGAATACAGCTCCGAGCTGGGCGGCCGCATGCCCAGCGAAAACCTGGGGACTTCTTTACTGCAAGGAAGGGAAAATGGACATGGGAGCCTGTCGGTCACTACTCCCTCTTGGTGGCAGTGAATATACCCTCATTCCCTTGCTCTAACCCAGAAGACTTACAAATGGAGGCCAGGTTAAAGCTGGGAAGGTGAACCCAAATGCTTGATGAAAAGCATGTGTGAGGGCATAAGATGAACACGTCCAGCCTTCTGCTCTTCGGGAAAGAGCCCCTGCCCTCAGTACTCCCCGAGCCAGCTACTAGGGGCCGGGACGGTAGCTTACATCCCTCCCCAGGCCCAGCCCACCCCTGACCTCTAACAGCTCTGTCCTCCTCTGCTTGTTTCCTCCTTATTTCTGCCTAACATGACTCGGTCCTAAGGGTATAAGCAATGCCTTCTTTGTAGGAAAAAGGGACTTGTGTTCCCAACTGGCCTGTGATGCTGCCCTTCACTACTAGCTCAGCTTCCCCTTTCTCTAGCACTCCACCAGCGGACTCTTTGGAGGCTCACCCTGACCCTGAAGTTTGTACTGAGTCCCTGCAATTTAGGAAGAGATTGCTGGATGCCGAGTGGCCAGGGAAGCCAAGGTAGGGTAGGACCGAGCAGTGGGCCACTGGGACACGGTCCTCCACAGGATGCGGCGCTCCTACACATCTGAGGCCTGACATGGCTTCCTGGAAAAGCAACTTGTGCAAGGCCTGCTTTCGTCTCTTTCCTGAAGTTTACACATGAACGGAGTGCCCTGGTCCCATAAACATCATAATCCCTGGACTGGAATGTTTTCTTTGAGCTTAACCACATCCTAGGAGATGGGTGACTTTGAAGCACACAGTACGTAGGGACTCAGTTTCCTTTCCCACAAGACCAAAATGCTGCCCTGGCCCTGGACATTCTGGAACACTAAGAACATCTTGACGGACCACCCTTTGGGATGGGCCAAGGGGCAGACAGCCTGGCTGTGGAAAGCCAAGCTTGGCCACCACCCAGCTGACTGTTGTGTCCGGGATTTGCTTTCACTCTATTTGTAAGCTAACAAGTTAGCCGGTAACTGTTTTCAAAATGCTGGCAGAGGCCTGGAGGTTCCTGGGTCAGAGACAAAAAGACTTATTACTCGCAGCAAGCACCGGGAGCATCAGCATTTGGTTTTCTTCGCCCCGTGAGCTGGGGAACCTGCCACTTGCCGGTAAGTAGCGGGCAAGTCTCTTTGTCCTGGAGGGAGCCATTCCCTCGTCCCTCAAGGTGCTCGCTGCAGGCCCAACCTGAGAAACGGCCCAGGTAAACAGCCGTCA